TTATAGTATGCTTCAAAACCGAAAGTTATAACAATATTTTTCTAGAACTGTTAATTAATAATAATTAATATTTAATTATTGTAACCAAGTTTTTTCAAAAATATTTATATCAAAATGTAGCTCGTTCAATTCTGGATATAATGAGTATATTTTTCAAACGTTTTTCTGTCCTTCGACAATGACAAAATCAATCAAATATAAAAAAGTGCCTTAAGGTCCCACCGCTCAAAAAAAAGTCACTTTTCGTCAGAATGATCGAAATTAAGATAAATACTGGCACAGACAGTTCGTGATCTGATTTCTCATAAACGACGAAAATTTTTACTCGACACCTCGTTTTTTCCCAAAATTTTTGAAGATTTCCGTCATCTGCTATTCGAAAAATAAGCCATTTTTGAAAAAACCGAAAATCTTTTTCATTTTCTCTCACTTGATAGATTTTTGATTGCGCATGCCAGAATTCTCGAAGGAGCTTCATTATAACCAAACGTCTTTTTTTTTGTTTGAAAGAGCATGTCAAGACGTAGTACAGTACAAAGTCCTTTTTTTAAAACTAAGCTCCTTCGTTTTTGTTATATATACACACATTGTATAATTAGAGCGCCATTTTTTGAGAGTTTTTGAGCTATTGAACTTGTCATGCCTTTCCTCCACTTTAAAAAAATAAGAGTAAAAAAAAATGGCTGCTATACTGCACTTCATGTTGACATGTTTTTTCAAACAAAAAAAAACCTTAAATATATAGAATGAGCCTGAACAGAGAAATTTGGTTTGCCAAATGAACTATTTTCGACTCTTGTTTGTTGAATATCTCTCGAAAATGCTATGATATAGGGCTGAAAACTTTACCATAGCCTTCTAATAACCCGTTATGAATTCTGGTTTTTTTTTCAATACTATTTCTGTCATTGTCATTGATCCATTATTATAGAAATTCTAGCGTCAACTGATTTCATGCACGTTAGTTCATCTTGTTTCAAACTTGATTTTTAGACATACTGAATAATAAATCAAGCATTACAAATGTTATTTATTGTTAGAAACAAGAGTATATCTTGTTATTAGACTCGAAGCAAAGAGTTTCTTATAATTCTTCTGCTAACAATTATTTTAGCTTAACAGTCGTATCACTGACAGAAGCAGGGCTTATTATTGATTCACAGTGATAATCAAGTTTTCTCAATTAGATAGAAAAAAATGAATATGAAATATGTATGTCACCTAATTATGAGTGTTGTTAGTATGTAGCTCCAAGTAAAGAAAATACTGCGCACAAATATTAAGCTGTGTGTGTGTGGTTGTATTTGTTTTTCTAAAAAATAATGATAGGAAACAACAGTTATGTGTTATTGTAAGAATAAATTAGGTTCAGAAATGATTCACTAAGAAAGAAATCGAAGGTGAGAAGCAAAATATTTCATTCCAAGTTTCTATTAGTGCGATAACGACAAAAGTTAGACGAACATAAAATCATTATTCTAGTGATGGATAACTTTGGCTTTGATCGAAAACAATCGATTACATCTGCGACCGAAACTGAACGCAATATGGTTCAAGCAGAGATCAATATGATCAATGCTACTGCTGATGCCGTCATTCCACTAGGTATCTGGTGTTCGAAATGGAGAAAATTTTGGGATAACTATGAATGGCGCATGCGACACTATTTCTACATACATCTATCGGTATTCTTCTGCAATACACTTTTGTGTGGTTTCATCATCTGGAGCATTGAACAAAAACGTGTGCCTTACATTGATTGTTGGTTTATGAGCGCAACATGTGTATTCACATGTGGATTGGAAACCTATAGTTTTGGATCACTCAGTCAAGCATCACAAATTGTATTACTTTTTTTTACAGTAATTTCAGGTAAGCGGGCAAGACTGATAGAAAAGAAAGAAAGTTCTTAATCAAAATAGATCATCTATAATATCTCTGTGTCATTGTCATACAGGTATTACTGTCAGTACAATTCCTGCTATTTTCATCAAGATTTATCGAGTCAAACGCGAAATAACGCCTGATGAAGAAACACTTTCATCGACTGTCGACGATAATAGTTTACCAATAACACAACTTGTTCAACTCAATTCTTCTGATCTCATATTGGATCAACGTCTTCAATCATTACCTAATCCGAAAGATCTTCGTACTACAGCGTATATTATCCTAATTATTCTGATTCTTTCAACTTGTTTCACTATTTATCTTACCTCATTTCTTGCTATTGGTTTCTGGCTTAAATATTATTATGATCCACAATATTTGCGCCAAGACAATAGCACAGTCAATCCATTCTATGCTTCGATCATCATCACTTTGACCGGCTTCAATCAAAATGGTCTTTCACTCTGGTACCGTATCTAATATTCTTTTCTATGCGCCTATTTAGTTGTTGAACTGATAGAGAATTTGAATCTTTTTTTCTCGGAAATTCGAACACAGTTTTTGATCTATTCTTTATATTAAAAGAAAAGTATTTCTAGGAAAGGTAGCATGTCACTTTTTGTCACGGATATCTTCATGAACATAATCATCATGCTTATTGTTATGTCTGGTACATCTCTATTTCCGGCCATTCTTCGTGGAATTGTCGACTTACTCAAGCACTTGGTACCGTGAGTATTCACTGATCCTCTTTTTACATCATACTTTAATAGCTAATTAAAATGGCAATATTTTCAGTTGGCGCCACAAGATCTATTTTGATTATATCTTATTGAATAATCATCGTCTGTCTACGGTAATATATCCATCTGTTCAAACACGACTCTATGTCACTATTACCGTTTTGTTACAAATACGTAAGTAACCATAGTATCGAATAAATCAACTTCTTACTTGCGTTATTTCAGTTGGTGTAGCCGTATCTTTGGTGAACGATTTTCATGATGAAGCATTGGCCATGTATACTGGCGGTCAACGATTCATGATATTTATGTTTCAAACAGTGAACACTCGTTTTGCAGGTACTGAGTAGTATATTTTATCAAAAAAACGCATCTAGAACAATCTGCACGTATTTGTTTATTATTAAAGGTTATGCAACAATCGATCTAAATCTTTTATCTGCTGGAACTTTGTTGATATTTGCTCTATTGATGGGTATCAAACCTCAAATGGTATGTTGGTGGTTATTTTCTGAAATTTGATTATAAAGTAGAGTTGAACTTTCACAGATTAAAATTTATAATAAAATTGAATTTAGCCATTAGACAGAGGAATTCAAAGGCGATCTATCTGTTTAAGAATCGTCAGGTTCAAATTTGATATCCTTCTACAGAAAAATGACCATTTGTACTAAATTTGGTGTAGTTTTAATTGAGATTACAATAAAAATTAATGACAATAGATAATGAAAATAGTATCAGTATGAAAACTATTCGAAAATAATGAATTCTTCACATAAACAACAGTCATTGCTACTGTTAAAAATATATCCAATATTAGTAACAATTCTAACTCATTGATTGAAATCATGAATTTGTCTTAAAACTTAACTACTTTTATCACTTGTATATGAGACCCACAAACATATTCATAAGTTTTCAGCTTTAAGAGTGCTCGCCTTTTTTCCTGATGTCCCCAAGATGATAAGATCATCGTATATAGTTTCGACATGCCTGTAAATATGTTCTTTCTAGTTTATTATGTTGATACACATCGTTTATCATGTAGTGTCTGTTATCGTGCCCCAACTTTTCTCTCGGTTTCTTTTTTTTTCATATCTATTGTTGTTATTGAATCGTGCTCTTTGTTAGCTTCGAATAACTTCTCTCTTCAGAAGATTAACGTATACAACGTAAGGCTTTCTCTCATTAACCATTGCGAATAATATAATACTCTGAAGCATTTCTAACTATTTCCGTTCGAAAATAGAATCAATCTTCTGGTTTTTTTTTGATAAAAAACCAATCGTTGTTGATCATTTCTCACAGATCCTCGTGCTCAGATGGTTAAACTCAGCCTGATAGAACCAATGAATAGGACGAAGATTTTATTCTTTCGAAGTTTTACCACAATCTCTTTTGATTTATAACACAAAATAGCGTTGTCACTTTTAGTTGTGTGCCATTAATGAAACGCCATTTGAAATGGAATGGATTCTTTTGCAAACGCAACAAAAATTAGAAAATAATGTGTCCAATGGCAGCCAAGGTGCTAATTTTAAAATTTTCTTACCATTCGATCGAATGCAAAATTACCTTTTGCGACAAGGCTCGATTACTAAAGCTCAAGCGAACAGATACTTTGCATCAACAATTTCCATCAATCGTGTTGAAGCAGCTCTTGATGAACTTAATGACAAACGAAATCAACATCGTTTGAGTATTGTATCCGCTGATATGAGTTATGTGAGAAATCGATACGAAGAAAACACTCGAAGCGATAAACATATATCTCTACTTCGCATGAAACTTCTTTTGATCATTTTCTGTAGACATGTCATTCTCAGTTTCTTCAGTCTTCTTACATCGACTCGAACATGGCTATTTATCTTTATCTTTCTTATTTGTGTTTTTGAAGCGTCTCGTATGAAACCCAGTGATCCAACTATTACTGTATTTCGTGTGATATTCGAAGCGATTAGTGCTTTTGGTGGATGTGGTTTTTCCATGGGATTTTCGAATGAAATGCCGAGTCTTGTCTCTGTACTTACTTCACCCAGCAAAGTTGTGATCATACTTGTCATGTGTATGGGTAGACATCGAGGTTTACTCGATTCGATGAAAGATCAAGAAGAGATCGAATACAGTGCACAAATACTCATTGATAGTTGGAAACAATTGGCGATACTTGAATATCAAGAAAAGAAAAAATTATTGGATGAAAAATTTAAACCAACAATATCTGTTCCTTTTCCAACGCCACCACTAGTCACTCGCTTTTGACATTATTGATTTTTGTTCTGCTTGTCAGTTTAACTTAATGTTTTATTGAATACATAGACAGATGTGATTAGTAATCTCATTCTCACTCTTTAATTACGAAAACAGTTTCACATTTCGGCTATTAGTACAATCATATATCTATAAAGTGTATAAATAATAATATTTAGATCCGTTTGGCACGTAATAGAATACCTAGAAGACCATCGAAAATCGAAACACTTGTCGAAGTTTACTTTGTTTTTAATTTAATATGTTCATATGATTCAACGATGGTTGTATGCAATGAAAAGCATTGATCTACTCAAGTTCCTTTCCTAGAATCCAGTTCGTGATGATCATTACGCTATGAAGTGATCCGTTGGCGTATTTTTTCGTCGCCAGTTAAGTAGAATTAGGCTGCTCTTCAACCTCAGTATGTAAAAAGCAGCCACAGAAGTTTAATGACACCGTTACCATCAGTTCAGTGAACCCATTTGAGTCTTGGTTGATTAAAAATGTTAGAACTATCGATTTGATCATCAGCAATAATTATGATGGTTCTCGTCGTTTACTATTTTCTGTTGATTGTATATAAAATTAAATGTGTTATCATCTTTCCGACAGGGCTTACATTAAAGTATAATGGTAGTGTCTAAATGTGGTCAAAGAGACTATATTGGCCATATAGAATGTCCCAAAAATCATCATACAAAAATGATTTTGAATATCTTTGACATCACTTCTATCGAATTAGCCATAGGATACCATGAAAGCTTTGACAAAAACAAATTTGTCTTACTCGAGATATTAGATTCATTAAAAGACTTGATGAGAAATTGCTTTTTTACAAATTCAACAACTCAAAGAAGATACATTCATTTTTGCTGAAACTTTCATAGTATTTTAATTTCGATCAACTCTATCTACTGATGGAATCTCATCTAAAATTTAACTAATTATAACTAGTTGTTTGAAAATAGCTCGTTGCAAGTAAAAGATTCATAAAAAACGATTATAATTCAAGAATACTACACTATGAGCCTAAGACACTGTACAGACACTCTACTCTCAAAGTCCTTTATGTGTGGTAGCAATAGGAGCTCAAAGACGATGAATTATTCAAGTCGATTTTCTCATCGCTCAAGATGGTGCGATCGTTGTTACTCATCTATGAGCTTCATCCAAACCTCAACAGATCGTTATTTTATCAATCGAAAACAGTACAAGAAAAAGTACTCTTTAAATACAAAAGATATAGGACATGCAGAACATGCACGCATACAAATTAATATTGTCATCTATTCGTTCTGATTTTTTAAGACAAATACTTGGCCAGCATGATTAATATTGAGAGCTACTGAAGCTGGAAGATAGAACGGTTCACCGTCCATTTGTGCCGTCATCGGACTGCAAAGTTCAATACGCAATTGATTACATTGAGCGATTCGATTACCACCAAAACCAATATGGATTGTAGCCATATGTGTAGTACTCAAACCGACAACTTCGATTTTTTGGTCGCTAAAATCTTGTTGCTCGAAACAATTAGGTGGGACTGTCGTCGCCGATGAGCTAGCCGTTTGATGTATACGACATTCGTTCAAATTGGTAAATTCAATAGCTTCGTGTGTATCAGCTAACGAATCGAATACATTAACTGAACTCATTTTTATATCATCGATTGAATCACTAATTCTTTGAAAAGTCAGCGGTTGATCGGTATAAGGGACAGTTGAGCTTGTCGATGAAGATTTTCTCCATGGATTCGTACCTGATGCATAGCCTGAAATGTTGAGTACGACTAACGTGTGACAATTACGTATGGCATCCGTTAAATCGTGACCATCGCATATCAAACGAATATAAGAACCGAGATTCCACATATTTGCTTGAGCAAAATCACTCATATGTTTACAGCTTCTGTTCAAATACATGAGCTTATTTTTCCACGGTGACGAAAATTTCGATGGATGACGTGTGCGCTTATCATGAAAATCGAGCGTAATGGCTGCATCTAAACCGAAACTCATGTAATTGATGAAGTGTGTATTTGGTAACTCGTGATGATTTTCATAGGTGACTCGCTTTTTTTCACGAACAAATTTCGGATGCTTGACTAACGGTTGAAGTTTACGACTAATTTGAAATCCACTCTTTCGTTTTTGTTGTATCGGTGAAGACAATGTTGACACATTGAGTTGTTCGAGCTGAACTTCCCAACGGTCGAGTGCAACCACTTTAGCTTTTGGAATTTGTACGAGCATATGAAAAATATGTTTCGGATCGTATTGATCACCCCAAGCTAATACGCGTGAAAGATCATTGCCCGTTCCTAAAGGATAAATGCTCACTGGTGGATTATTTCCCAATGGATAAGCCTTGACTAGGTGACCAAGAATCCAACCAACAGTTCCATCACCACCAAACACGCAAATACGAATATTCGGTAGCGAAGAATAGATGTCAAGAGCTTGGGTGATGGTTGCATCGTTTTCTAGAAGAAATACTTGGCGTGGATTAAGTTTTCGTAAGAGTTTTCGATAAACTTTGTCCCCTTGTTGGCCACCAGAACGCTTATTTATGAACATAATAACTGGTGTATATGGAAACGAGTCTAATTCGGAGTTGCTATTGGTTGTATGCGAAGGCAGACAGGCTTTGAAACTAGTTGGAGATTCGCTGGAACGACTGATCCATTGCGGTCGAACAATAATATTTCTATTGAAGGAAATCAAAATATTGATTTTCAACAAGTGACTATAGTGGAACAAAGAGAAGCATCAGAGAACTTTAGACAACTTCTCGATGAACTCAAAAACTTGAAAGTATTTTCTTCAGAATATAACTCGAACTTTGCATATTTGTAAGCATGCTTCAACGTTTATGGACCCTACGATCAAATCCAACTTATGTAGTAATCATTAACGAACAGCGGTAGACAAGTGTCAAGATAATGGTAAATCTGACGAGAAGTATGATCAAGTATTCCCGTAAGCATTAAAGCCATGCAAGGTTTCTTTTTATTTGATCTGCATAATCATCATGATAAACTTACCCAAATATTCCATAATCACATTCAATCTTGTCATCTTGAACAGCAAGACGTTCCCAGCACGCTCGATGATAGCTTCGTGAGCACCATAAACAAACGAGACCATGGGAAGATTCGAGCATGTTTAGACTAGAATTTTTCGGTATAGGATTCATGACCAATGTGACTTGATCGATGACATTTAAAGCAGACGTCATCAATAATCGACCAGTTCTACTTCGGAATGGAGTCTTAGTCATTGATGTCGGTTGGCAATACACGCATGGTTTCGGAAGTACGGATACATGGGACCAAAAATGTCCATTGTATTTCGATAGATTATCTTCGCTCTCGAGAAGTGAATTTTCTGGTGTTCTTTTATCAATAAATGAGGGACGGCAGGGTGGAAGAAAATCGGTTTCGATTGTCTGTGAATCATTAAAATGATACGAATGTACAAGCAGACCACATGATTCACATTGTAGAAGTGCTGATTGATTTTTTTGGTTCACGCTTATACAAGAGGCATAGGCACATGAATGATCTGTCGTTGAATCCTTGCATATCAAGGGAAACCAACAGTGGGATGTAGGACGAGCACGATCACTCCAATCGACTCCGTATGAAATGGAAGTTTTACTGTTGGATTCAGCGAACAGTCCCGATGATTTTGTCGAAATAGGTTGGGAGACACTGAAAAATGAAAAAAGCATCCTATTGTTCTTCGCGAGTAATCCGCTCGGTAAATACCTTGTCTGATTCGAGACGATGAATGGTTGAGATTCTATTGGTTGCTCATCTTGTCTCAGCGAGCGTTGATCACAATGAGAAAATGGTCGACCAGCTACCATACCATCAGTCAATGATAACAACGTGTGAGACTGTTCATCATCATCGTCATCTATATTATTTTCTAGTAATCTTTGGCGGTTGAATGACGATGAAGATAGATCGCATGGATCAGATAGGCACGTCGATAAAACATTCAATCGTTTCGCTTTTATATTTTCTACTGCTTTCGGCATACTGCTTAAGTCCAATCGACGTAGATCACATTCGAGTGCACAACAAATTGATTCTCGATAATGTTGATCGATACCAATCGATTGATTTTTCTTCATTAAAGTATCAAAATCACCCAATTGACTATTGTCATCAATAGTTGAATGAGTTATGGAAGTGTCATCAATAGGTAAAGATGACATGGTTGATGCGGTAGATGGTAATGTGGTCATAATCGAGTACCGATATTGAAAGAGCTTCGGTGGAGATACAAATAGACGATCTGTCTATGAAATTCGGTCAAAAATCTAGAATCGAGCCAATACAGTCGAAACTAAACATGCTAGAAAAAGACGAGTATAACTCGCTCTTAACTGTTTAGATCACATAACAATTTCTTTAGAATCTAAGAACTAACCGATTACCATGATCAACTTGATTCTAGTCGAGATATTAGACATTTCATTACGTATGGATGGTCCGACACGCCAATCAGCGTATCTGGGTTCCCATACGTTGTGTTAATGAAAATGTATCGTATAGTGATGTTTTTTAAATATTAAAAAAAAAAGTTTGGTAATTCCTATTACAGAATATTAGAAAAATCAAAAATCTGACATCGGATTCGAATCCTTCACCTATGATAAGCCATCAGTAAAGTTTCACAGAAAAATATGAACTTATCTTTTGAATTTTCGACATCTTACTATCGACTAGGGATGGATTATTTTCTTTAATAATTTTTAACTTCGTTAGACCGAAGTTACTTTTAAGAAAACAATGGAAATTTTTGAAACCCTGATGGAATATGTTTATGCATCTCGATATCGAAAAATGCCAGAGAGTATTTTACAGTATGGTAACCTTGAGGATGTGAATGAGTGTAGGCTTTCTCTTCAACCCACCTACATCCACATCCACTCTAAATTACTTGCAATATAGAGAGAGTTATACTTAATATTTATTAAATTTTTTATTAACACATAATATTCAGGAATCAAATGACGGCTGATAACCTTTTTTTTATTGATATTAATAGTTAAATAATGATTATTAACTTAATTTTAAGTTAAATTAAATGGTCTATCTCTAGTTGCAGTATGAGCGTGAAAATTACTGAAGAGCACATTTTTATAACACGATATGTGTGTTTTCTTATTGTAGATGCAATGAAAAAGTGCTTGAAACATATGTTAATCTGTACGTAGCTTGGCATACACATAATAGAATTCTGTCAAATCTTGATATAAGATTACGCATAACGACATTTCCGAATATCATCGGAAGAATCGACTGTTACACAGCAAAACTATGCCGATGACCTGTCGGAATCATCGTGGTGGAATGAAAGTTTTTTAAGCTAACTCTGCTTGCTTGGTAGAGAAAATACCTGTTCGGTGAAAATTTCTGGTATGGAAGGTGTTTTTAAACAGCATAGAGTAAAAAGCACTGGCCTGTCATATGACATCCGATCAATATTGCCAGCTCATAAAACTTTTCGATTGTACTCTGGTAGAGTTCGAATGGCGAATCAAATCAGAACTGACAGGATTGATCGAAGATCCAAAAAGACTGGTAGGATCTTATAGAAATCCTATCGGAATTTAGTGATTCGGATGCCCGAATTTTGTCGGCTATTCGATATTGAATTCATTGACTTGAATAGAATTGTTCTGGTACATATTCGATTGATTATCGAAATATGAAGATCATTATTTTCGTCAAGACAAACTTCAAGTACATCATTTGTTTTATCATTATTATTTTATTTAATTGAAGTTGTTGTCATGACTATATGAAATAAGTGAACAACAATAACGTCATTCAAAAGCCCATATAATATACAATTCACAGATATAAGAATTAATCAAATTGATGATGAATCACTACATGATGCAGAGACCGAAACCGAATCGAATAGACGATCAATTCGGTTCGATTTGATTCGATTCAACTGAGTCGAATCAAGTCAAATGAAAATGTCTATATATGAACATATTTACTTTGATGAATTTTAAATATAAATGCCATCGTCTGAACAAAATATTTAATATTTTCGATCAGATCGAATAATCAAACTTAAATCTTTCAATAAACTATTGAATTTCATACTGTTGATATGATCAAATATCAACATTCATTAAATGCTTATGCTTAACATAAGCTTGATTATGTATTTTTATTCAGTAAAATTTAACTTAGAGTATGAATACATTATTCCAATAAAATTAGCTAAAGTAGTGTCACACTTAATCATTTAAAAACAATTCATTTCAAAATTTCATTCTTTAATACACTGTTATTTTTTTAAACATTCTGTAGAAACAATACATTTACAAGAGAAGGTCTCTAAGTGTAAGCGTCTGTTACCAATCGGTTTTCTGTCAGCTTGTAGAGTTCTCTGAACTGATCATGATGACATAAAGCATTCTTCTCCATAGGTTGTCTTTAAGAAGTTAGGTCGATCTCAACTTCACAAAAACAAAATCTGTAAGCTGTTATTTCGGAAATTTTAATTTTTATGTTAGTTTAATTCTTAGTATTGAAAACTTTAATATAGGATATGCCTTAATTAACTGTACACATCAATACAATCACTCCACATAGTAGTCTTAATTTCGTCTATACTTTTCACAATACTAGTAATATTTGAGATATATGGAATTCAACTATTTTTTCAAAATTGATCAAGATTCTATGGGGATACTAAGCAAAAGACTTAGTAATTAAAGCCTTGTCAGATATCTCCTTTTCAATAGATAAGACAGATAATTGAAGCATGATTAACATGTATTTTTAATATGTCTCTAAATAGATGAACATACAATTAAAATTAGATGAATATTGAAACAAAATAGTTCAATTCGATACATCTACTATATTAATGATATTGAAAAATATAGGAATAATTAGAACTTCTATTTATGTCGACTGTATGAATGTGTACAATCAATTAAGGCACATTCAGTGTATTAAAATTTTCAATACTAAGAACTAAACTAATATAAAAATTAAAATTTTCGAGATAACAGTTTACAGTTTTTTTTTTATTTTGTGAAGTTGAGATCGACGTAACTCTTCTAAGACAGTTTATGGAGAACAACCCTTTATGTCATCATGATCAGTTTATAGAACTCTACAAACTGGCATAAAGTCGATTGATAACGGAGACTTACATGTAGGAAGCTTCTTTCTTTCTTTTGATAGTTTATATACATACAAATACAATAATTGCTAAAACATAATGTTTCATTGATGTAATAATCACCGGTGATTTTAATTAATGAAACAAAATACTGAACTTAATGCTTATAGTCACGTTTATGTTGAGGATTTTGTCGATAACAAGATTTACCATATGGACATAGGGGTTTATCAACATCATTGTCATCTTTTTTATCATTATTATCCGTTTTTTCTTCATCATCATAATCAGAATCACCTGGATGTGATTGGTCAGTACGATGCATCAGATTTTTTCGATAACATGATGCACCATATGAACAAGCTGGACGACGTTTATTATTTGATTTAACTAAATTCAAAATTGTCAATCAATAATTAATTAATAAATATTTACGCTTACTTTTTTTTGTAGAAACAGAATCAAATCCATCATTACTATCACTATCAAAACTTTTTGCTAGAGATGATTTACTTGGATTTGTAACTGGTATGCCTAAAAAAAACAACGTAAAGAACAAAAATCGATAAACAAAATTAAATTAAATTCACCAGACGTATTTGATAGATCTTTGGTATTACTATTGTTATCTTCTTCTGAATTCACTGTACAGAATTTATTCAGAATATTGTTATTATAACAACTTTGCACTTACATTGTCGTTTAACAGTAGGAGGAAGATCACTAGATGATGAATCATATAAACAAGAAGAACTTGATGTGGTTTTTGTTGATGCAGTTTTTGAAGATGAAGTTGATACTATCATCCATGTTGGTAGTTTACGTGGTGTTTTATTCGAATTAGTTGATTCAAACTCATTCTGCAAAACTATATTCATAAAGTACGCTGTATCAATATCACAAAAACATACTTGATCTTGTAGAGAAACATGAGTAGAAGTATTAGTATCTTGAATGTATGGTTTTGGTTCAACATCTGAACTTTTTGTTTTAGATGAAATATCTTTAGATGGAATTGTAGTTGATTTTATATCGGTATGATTATTAGAATCAAGGTTATTTGTCGAACGATATAATTGTTGATCGGATGATGTAGATAATTTATCTTTATTATCGTTTGTATCAGTTGAAAAACTAATACGAAAGAAAAAACTTGTTGGTAATAAACCAATTTGATCGCCATCTTTTAATTCTTGTTCAATATCTTTTGTTAATTGAATTGTTTTACCATGAGAAGTTCGATAAAATACTGGATTAGTATGTGTCGGTTTAATCCAAAGTGTTTCATCATTTTTAAGTAATAATTCAGCATGTTGACGAGAAATTTTTTTATCATTACACTAAAAACAATATTAATTTCAAAAGATTGAAATAATAAAAATTAAAATATTCTTAAACATACATACACCTAATGATGACCCACGTCCAATAATAATTTTTTCTACTTTTTTTACTGCTATACGATTACCTTCAGATATGGGAATTAATTCTACTTTACAACTCATCCTCGTATTATGTAAATTTCAAAATTGTGTTGCAATATAACACTAACTCACTCCATGTCACAACACGTACATATGTAAGGTTTTTAATTTTCATCAAATAGAAATTTTCAATAGAGGGAGCATGCTATCAGAATGCATAAAAAAGAAATAAAAACGATTATAAATTTATTGATTAATCTATTTTCGACAAAAAAAAAATTATTCATTACAACAGAATTAAATTGCAATAAAAATTTTTTTACGATACATAAGACCAGCAATTATAGTCCAAAAGAAAACTCCATAAAGATGCATAGCAAGTAATTGTGCATGTGTTGTTTCTTCAACTTGAAATTGTATAGGAAAAGTTTTTGAACAAATTTCATGACCAATAAAAATAATAATTGAATTCATACCTAACCATAAAAATGGTTCACCAGTAAACCATTTACAAACATCAATAAATAAATAAAGTATTGTTAAAATAACAAAAGCTAAACCAGATAAAACAAATATAAAACTAAGTGACCAAAGATTTTTATTAATTGGTATCCAACTATCTGAATGACCACCTTTAGATAAAAGTAAACCAATAGATCCACAAATAAGACCAGATATAAGCCAATGAGCACAAACACGACGAATACGTGTTGAATGAGCAAAACTATGACCAGCTTGAACACCAAGATAACAAAGTAAAATTCCAGTTAATGTACCTAAAAGACCTGACAACAAAAAATTACAAAATTATAATTTAATTTTGTTTGTTTGTTTTTTTCGTACCTTCCGGTTCATATGGTATTTGAGTATCGTAGATTTTTTTACATGTTGGATGATTAAGCATATGAGAATTTCGAAGAATGAATCGATCAATATATCCAGCAACTCCTAGAAAACAAAAATAAAAGAATGATCTAATCAATCAATAGAATCATTTTATTTATTTTTTTTCGTAATTAACCTCCAGTACAATTTTGATATTTTCCATATTCATGTTTTCCACCAGGACCTAAATAACCTCTTGGACAATTATCAAATTTTGGAATAAAAGTAATCAATATCCAAGCAAGAGTTACTAATAATATAATAAGCCATTGTGGCCAAAAATGAAATAATGTATTTGATAATTCTATCCGTACTGGTTGTTGAATATCAGCACCTTAATTAATAAATTAAAATTTTTTTTTGGGGTTTTTTAAATTCAAGTTTACTTATTGGCCATTGTAATGAATATGGTTCATCTTCTTTATCATCAAAAATTAAAACAAGTATAGCAGCAAAAAAATAACATAATGCTAAACGTTGAAGAATACCAAATATTCGAATATATACCCATCGTGAATAACCACCTTGTAATATTAAACCTAAAATTTTACAATAGAATTAAAAAAAAAACAATATTTTTCCTGCTTATTTTCCTAGTATAAAAAGTATTAGAGTTCGTCGACATATTTTAAGAAAAATTGATCTCTTTCGTAGATTTTTTGCACGCATAGAACAATGTGAAAAAACAATTGATACACCCATTATCCAAGTAAACCATGGAAAAACCAAATCGGCAAGAGTTAAACCATTCCAAACTATGTACAACAACAGAAATCTTTCATATATTTATAAAGAAAAACTTACTTGAATGATTAAAAAACCAATAACCACCACCTTAACAAATAATAAATAGTAAATAAATGAAATTAAAAAAAAACCGAATATTCTATAAATTATACCTCCATAATTAACAAAAATCATTACCATCAATGAAAATCCTCGAAAAGTATCCAATGAACGAAGTCGTTTTGGTAAAATTTTTGTTATTAATATTGAATTATTCGATATTCTTGTTGATCCAACTAATGGTAATTCACTACTAGTCGTAAGTGTACGAATAATATCATCATTAGGATCATTAGCAATTGTTGTTGGATTTTTTGGTAATGAAGTAAGAAAATCATTATTTATTATTTCTTGTTGCATAGAATTAGGAAGAAAACGTGTAAAACGTCGACTATGTGAAATACGATGCCATAATTGAATAAATAAAATAAATATTAAAAATATTCCCATTCCAATAATAATAGGTAACCAATAATAACTTGATTCTTTTGTTTGTTGTATTGAACAAAAATCTTGATTTTGTGCAATTTCAATCATTTCAAATAAATATGATCCATGTTCAAGAAATAGATATGATTTTATTGAACATTGCAATGTTTTATTAGTAGATTCTATAAAAAGTTGAAAATCATAAGCATATGTTGTATTTATGATAACTGTTTGACTTGAATTACATGGAACAATATCACCTAACATTTCAAAATTACATTTTTCACATACTATTAAATTATACATAAATGTTATAGAATTTGAATAATTTTTATTGCTAATTGTTAGATAAGCTTGATCCATACTTAATGGATCTAATGAATCATCATTTATAGATTGAGTTTGACCATATTGAAGAAACTCTTGTATTGTAATAAGAAAAATCCATAGATAATAAAATGATTTCTTCATTATATATTTGATTAATTATCAAAAGAAAAATAATCAAATTATTCAACACGTTTTGCCTTTCGAACTTGATTATGTGACCAAATAAAAAAAAATATATATCAAAAAGTTGTTGCTCACCTGTTTCAAAGTCAACAATTCACGTCCATTACATAATATCCTTATCAGTTTTTCACCTCAAAAAAAAAAAAAGTACCGACATATCTTCCATCGAGTTTTGTGTGTTGTTTTAAATAATAATTGACGAGTCAATGCAAGATATTATTGAGCAACAAATGAATAATTCTTGATCAGCATCAAAATTTATTACTTTTTATTTAACTCCTTTTTCTGACCTATAAAACACAATGGACAAGAATTTTTTTATACACAAAAAAAAACACAAGACAGTAGCAGAAAACATCTTTTCTGCTGTTTCATAATAATATCTCTAAGTAGGAATTGATTATTGTTCCTTTGATGACTGCAAGACTAAATACATTGATGATAGCGCTGATCCTAACATAGCATCAAGTTGAAGATGATGAAATATAATTCTAATAGATTTTAAGTTTTTTCTTTCTTTCGAACTTCAAGAAAGTAAGTCAGAGATAAATATACTACTCATTTGATATGGTTTAAATAAACAGTCGAATATTGTATTGATTAGTATTTTTAAGATCATTCTTGAATGATTATATCGATTGCAGTATGCTTCTTTATTTTACACAACATCGTTGAAATATAAGAACAATTTTCACATAATATTACAACAGTAAACTAATGAATTTCTTTTTTTTTGCTTTATTGAGTTAGATGTAACAAATAAAGAATGGAGATGAATCAATAACATGATCTTATTCTAAATATTATCTATTGAAAGTCTCACATATAAATCGATTGATCATATGACACATATAATAGTTTTATTGGTTTCTCTATTCAATTGAAATATCAAACAAACATTTTATTTATTAAACAGATGTCAAACAAATTTTAGTTTTGTCGAATTATATCTGAATAAAACATGATTGTTCATTTTTTTCGTATACATTCACTAAAAAGACGATATTTCAATTGTGAACAAGTCAAGATTTTAACATCGATAATCTTTTTGTTTTCATCATGTCAATTTGTATAAATATCTTATCGAAAAAAAAATGAATACCTCACTAAAAGATTGTTTTTTATCTTTCACTTGATCATATTTCCTTGTTTTTTTCATTGACTTGATTACTTCAATTTATTTTTGTACAATCAATATTCTACAGGATTGTGCGTGCAAAAAAAAAATGAGTATTAAGTACTATATTAAATATACTCATATATTAGCATGAGAGTAAATGAAGAAGAAAAAATAGAATGAAATATTTAGACTAGTAAGATGAGCTTCCTTTATAAATAGATTCATTAGGACCAATAATAAATTCAGAGAAAAACAGTTTGATAGTAAGATTTTAAAGAAGCAGAATTATTTTGAAAAAATCAATTGCAAAAATCTACGAATGAAATAAAGGAAATTAAATCCGATATAATGGAAAGAGGTATCAAGAATAAAGAATATAGATGAAGTATGTTTTCGAAGATTTATTACAAGTAAAAAGGTAAAAAAAACGATTAGCTATTCTAAGTCTCTCATGATGCATGAGTGTGTAAATATCATACCTCCACGGAATGCACTCTAAAATGGCTTGTCATATCTTTATCACTGTTATCTTTTTCTATCGTCGCATGGTGTGTATATAAGAGCGTTAGTATTTTTTTTTTATTTGACATTTGTATTCTGTACTTTTTTTTCGTGGACAATATCATGTCAACAAAAACATCTGGTAATATTAAACTTCGACTTCACTATTGGAATTGTCGTGGTCGTGTTCAAACTGTTCGTTATATGCTTGAAGATATTGCATATACACATAAAAATGTTGATTATAAAGAAGATTTTGAATTACTTGAGAAAATGACTGAATTATGGCCTAAACACAAGGCTGATGAAACAATTTCCGGACCATTTCATAATTTACCTGTACTTCATTGGAATGATACAGATACTTTTGCTCAAACTTTAGCATTAGGTTTGTTCAATTAATACAAACAAAACTTTATTTATCTTTTTGTATTTTCATAGGACAATTATTAGCACGAAAATTTGATTTATATGGTAAATTAACATCATCCATTGATGATGAAGATCTTTTACATGGTTATATTGATGGTGTTGTTTCATGTGCATATACTGATGTTATATCGACTGTTTTAATTTCTATATGGAGCAGTGTTAATATTGCCGATGAAAATAATCCGTCGTATCGTTTAGTTAAAAAGACTGCAAATGATTTAAAAGCCTTGAATAATTTACTTAAAAAAAGTTCAACATCATTTTATTACGATCAACCAGAACCAACCATTGCTGATTATTTTGTTTTTGAAGCATTTTTACTAGCTCGTGATTATCATGAAAAAGTTTTACCAAATGAAGAAGATTGTCAAGCATTAATAAAACTTGAACAAGCTATGAAAAAACGACCAGCATTAGCTAATTATTTTAATAA